ACGTAGTTATTGTTTATTATCTTTTTATATTCAAGTTTTTTTTCATCGATTGAATAATTTTATTTTGGTTAAATTTTTTTCAATTATTAGAGTTTTCACATTTTTCTTTTTTCTGTGTTTTTAATAATGCTCAAGTTGTTTTGTTTTCAATAATTTTTTGACCTTTTTTAAATATTAAAAAATTTTTTTTTCATTAAAAATTTATATTATTTTTTTTCTCAATATATGAGTTTTTTGCACGCTGCGATAAATATCTTGAGATGGGTTTGTCTGATCGTGTTGAAATTTTTAGGAGTTGTTTATTATATATATGCACATTCACCTTACCATAAGAATTAATGTTAGTTAACTGGTTCTAAAAATAAGGTCTAGGTTCTAAGTCTTTTCGGGGCTTTTTTTTAGGCCTTAAACTGATTTTCTTACAAAAGCTTCAATAGTTTGTTAAATTATTTGATTTTGGCAGGGTGAGCGTAATCATCTGATATTAAAAAGCTGTGAAAATTTTATGATCATACCATTATTAGTTTACAGGCTGTTTATCGCAGCGTGTAGTCCATATTTAGGGTCCATGGACCCAAAACTTTGACCAAAAAAAAGTTTTTTTTCTTTACTGTGCTTTAAATATAAAATACTATTTCTTATATGAAAATCATAAAATATGAATGCATTTTTAAAATTTTGATTTTATTTGTATAGGATCACCTTATAAATAAATTTAGATGTGTAACAAATAATATATATATATATATATATATATATATATATATATATATATATATATATATATATATATATATATATATATATATATATATATATATATATATATATATATATATATATATATATATATATATATATATTGAAAATTCTAAAATGTATATCTAAATCTAAAATATATATCTATATTGAAAATTCTAAAATGTCAGTTACTCTAGTTGAAGTTAGAAAAATGCTGAAGGAATTGTTTTTGGAATATAGAGAAGAAATGGAAACAATTCTTAAACAACAACAACAAATACTTACAGATATCTTAAGCACAAATATAAAAATAATTAACGAGAGACTTGACAAAGTAGAAGAAAACTCTAAAGAAAATGCAAACAAAATAAAGGTAATAGTAAAAGATATCAAAGACATAAAATTGAGCTTAAATTTTCATGTTGAAGTTTTTGACAAAAAAATCGCAACTATCCACAAACAAAACAACGAGCGAGTAGAAAAGGAAAAAATGACAACGCAAAATTTAAATGAAAAGCTAAGAAAGTTTGAAGATAGATCGAGAAGAAATAATTTAAGAATAGACGGGTTACCAGAAAGTGTGAAAAAAACTTGAAATGAAACTGAGGACAAAATTATATTTTTTTCAGTAAATAAGTTGGGGCTAAATGGAATAGAAGTCGAACGAGCTCATCGAACTGGAGCCAGAAAAGATGGTAGCTCCAGAACAGTTATAATTACGTTGTTAAGATACAATGATAAAACAAAAATTCTAAAAGAGTCATATAGACTAAAAGGTACAAACATTTACTTAAAAATTTTTCCCATGAGACTGTCAATATTAGGAAAAGACTCCTGGCTGAAGTAAAAGAAAGACGCAATAATAGTGAAAATGTTGGTTTAAGGTACGATAAAATTATTAAATTAAATGATATCAAAAAAATAATAATAAATCTTATTTCTTATATTTATATCTTACACGTATATGAATATATGTTTATATATCTTATTATATTTGATTTTTTGGTTTTTATTTTTTAAACAGTTAAATTTTTAATTATGACAATGACGGAAACAAAATATTCTGAAATTTTTGATAAAGAAAACACTCTTCTTCTGAACAATAACAACGACCCGGACAAAAATTTTTTTGAAAACAACTCATTTAAGTGTAATTACTATGGTATCGAAGAATTATCTTGTTTTATAAATGCGTCACACACAGCTGTTTCACTCAATATAAAACCCAGCCGGCACAACTCAGAAAATAGTTACGCTTGGTTTCTGTTGCATTTTTAAAACCTTCTAAAAAAAAAGAATAACACCTATCCTAAATGGTTTTTATTCCGTGAAAATAACTATTACTATTAACCACAAATACCAGTTAAAGTATTAATGGTTTCACCGTTATGGAAACATAGTATTATATTTTAATAACTTTCCGTAAGGAATGTGAAACCACTGATAAAAACATGCGACATTAAAATTTGACTTTAAAACTACAAAAAACACGTGTTAAACTCTAGTAAAACTGCCCGTAATATACACGTGTTTTTAATTTACGCCTAGATCGTGAAAAACACGTGCCTATATAAGTTTTATTTCCGAAAAAGAAACTAGATGTGCCGGTAGGGAAGCGATCTTGACGTCACAGTTATTTTTGTGTTTAATGAAAAAAGTATTTCCGCAAAAAAAGTTTTAAAATGCACTTTAAAATAATAGTGTTTTTTCCTATTAGCGTTTTCATCTTAAACTAAAAAAAAAAATCTTTTTTTTATAAAAGACCCATCTTTTTTTTGAATTATTTTCTAAAACAAGAACTTCTAGATTTAAAAACGTGCTCATTTAACAGCTAATCCCCCTTTAACAACATTTTTCATAATTTTGCAAATAATGCGGTTTGCTTGCAGACTTTAATAAAGACTGTATCAGTTTACCTTTAACAATTAAGTAAGATTTTTTTATTTTAATAATAGTTAAACAATGAGTGTATTTGATAATAACTATCAGAAATATATTTTTCTGATTTTTTTTTTTATAAAAAGTAACAACAAATTACTAAAATTTAACCAAGTTCATCATTTGTTGTACTTTAAAGCACAACAAATGATGAACTTGGTTAAATTTTAGTAATTTGTTGTTACTTTTTATCAAAAAAAAATCAGAAAAATATATTTCTGATAGTTATTATCAAATACAAAGCTTTGTATAAACTAAAAGAGGTTTTTTTACTATTGTATTAAATGGCGTATGATAAAACAATTTATTGTTGTTTTTATTCCTTTTACAAAACAAAATTATCTCTAATATTTCAAAAGCTATAAATGTTTTAGTAACACCCCCTAAGTCAATAATTTCAAAAAAAAAAACAAGAAGTCGTAAAGCTCACTCTGAAACAGCCGTGCACAAAATACTTTTTCAGCGCTGACATTAAATATACGCAGCATGAGCAAAATCTTTGAAAACTTAAAAGAAATGCTAAATCCAGACTTGGTCGGGAAGCGGGTGTGATCGCACTCGATAATTTATATTTTTTTATTTTTTTTTATTTTTGTCGTTTAATATTACAATAACTAAATGTATTTTACAATTTTTTACATTAGTAACGCCAGGACTTCTAGAAGATTATGAGGATCTTGCATGAAACCCTTTACAATATATGGTTAACTTTTAATAAAAATACAAAGTCTGTAGTGAAATAATAATACACCTCTATGCAAAAATATTTAAAAACCAATTGACCTCGGAAATATTATTTAGTTAGTCGTTTTGAGAACATTTCAAAAACAAACAAAAAAGCGCAATAAGATTAACTGGACCGACGAGAGACAGTTAAAAATAAAAATAGCTTTTAACGCGAAAAAACGCGATGCAATTATTTTTGAAACGCCGCTCTAATATAACTTTATTTTATGACATTTTTTATATAAAGTAGCAACTATAAAGAAACAAATGTTCTTCAATTTATCAAAGTGTATATTTAATTTTTATTTATATACTTATGTTTTATTTTAAGTGCTGGATTGAGGAGGTGGGGTGGGGGTAGTAGGGCTATAGCCCCGGGACTCACAATGTTAGGGTAAATAGTCAAGAGGACCATTCTGTATTTTTTTAAGTCATTTTTACGCTGTGGCGCATAAAAAAGGCCGCCAAAATAATATAGCCCCCGGCCCTGAAAAGTCCAACAAGATTCAACCAGATGATTTATTTATAAATAAAAAAGTTTTTTCAATAACTATGCTTCGCGTAGTTTAAAAAGTTTAACACATTTGAAACAATTCTTCTTAATAGGATAAACAAATGAAATAATTAAAATCATTGAGTTACTGTAGAAATTCAATTAGCTAGATAGAAATTAACAAAAAACGTTAAATTACTTTGTGAGGAGGAAGCGGAACTGCTTCACAATAACGCTGATGATGTTTAGTGAGTGGGCTTTTAATTAGTATTTAAAACAGAAAAAAGTAACTTTAAGTATAACGAGTTTGTAAGAATAACTGAAGTAAAAATAATAGAAGTTAGTAAACCAATTCTAAGAACTTAAAAACTTTTCTTTCTAGGGAGAAAGAATCAGTTATCGGGTACACTGAGGAAAATGGATTAGTGGTTAAAATTATTTGCATTAACTTTGACGATTATAAATAATTTCATTGAAAACGCAGTTATTATTGAAAGTATTTTTGTTTACAAAATCAATAGCACAAATTGCTTTAAAAGATTACATTTGAATAAAATACACATAAATAAAATTACATACATAAAAATACATTACATACATAAAAAATACATCCCTTTTATATAAAAAGTAAGAATATACTAATAAAATCTAAAATATATTTACAAAACGTTGACAAGTTAAAAAATATAAATTTAAAACATTTATTATTGTAAACAAATAATGTTAGTTTAAAACATTTATAGCTTTGTAGATGTGGCTGCAAGAATTAAAATAATAGTTCGTTTGATAGTATACTCTTAAAATAATTTATGCTAGAAATCTCAACAAAAACGTAGCAAAATTCAAATAATACAGTTTGTTAAAAGATTTCAACAGAATACTCAGGACATTTGGTTAGTTTTTTTTAATGCTCTAGAAATTTCGGTTAGTATTTTTTGAACCAATAGAAATAGTTGTTCGTAGATTTGGGGGTTTTTTGTGTTCGCGAATATTCTTTTTTTATTTTTCCGCACTAAGATGTTCGAGAACATTCAAGTTTATGTATGTTTCCATTTAGTCCGTAAAACAAAATATTTTAAAATTTACGACAAAATGAACTTATTATTTTGCGGATAAACAAGGAAACATACATAAATTTAAATGTTCTCAAAACGACTAAAAAATCTGGCCGGTTTTTCGCAACTAAATAATATTTCCGAGGTCAATTATCGAGTACGATCACACCCGCTTCCCGACCAAGCCTGTAAATCACGAGTTTACGGTAATATGCCTTTTAGAAACATGGTGCAAAGACAAAAATACCATAAACTCAAATTTTCAATTACAAGGATATAAAGCTCTCCATCAAACTCGTAGTAGAGGTACTGGCGGAGGAATATGTTTCTACATACATGATACAATACACTTTTTAAAAGTAGAAAGCCTCAGCATACTGAACGCAAACTGCGAACTTTTCACGGTTGAAATAACAAACCAAAGTAAAGCAAACGCGTATACAACTGGCTTATATAGACTACCAGATAGCAATATAAAATCTTTAAAAAAACATATAACTCAGTACTCAGACCTGGATCTTTTAAAAATAAAAACTAATAACAATGTCAAACGCTTTTTAAATAATCTCTTACAGCACAGCGCAGTACCCTTAATAAATAAGCCAACTCTAGTAACTCTCTGAACTGCTACCCTAATTGATGACATATTTACAAGTAATACCACAAAATGTAACATTCAATAATATAATTAACATAAAAAGTCTAAATATGATGAATCTGGTACAAATGTCTAAATTTATTGTTTGACCTCCCACAATTAGTTCCTGATAGTCAATGTTGGATAGCAAAACTTATATAACTATTTTAATTGGTTTGCATTATTCAAGTAATGCACTTTCTTTTTTTTACTGTTTAGGTACTTTTAGAAGTGGCATGAAAACACACAAAAACTGCAGTGTCAATAAAGAAAATATATCGAAAGCAAACAGACAACATTATAATAATATTGAAAACATTGATTACCTTCTCAATATTGTCTCAATAGCAATATGATGAGCAAAGTTTGTGCTTAGTTCCTGCTTCTTCAAAATTCTTTTCCCAGGAAAATATGCATAGTAGAGCAGTAATAGCATTATAAATAAATTTTATTATCTTATGTGATTTTGTCTTGTTATAGAAATTGTTATAAAAAACAAATCTGGAACGAGCATGACCCATGGCAAGTTTAAAAACAGCAATATTTCTTGCATAAAAAATACAACTGACAAATCACTGTGCTTTTCTAAGACCGCCAGGGTAAATTTTGGTTTACTCTAATTTTTTTTGTTTAATTTTTATTATTGGGGTTGGTAAATTGTTTGAAAATAATTTTAAAAATCTAAACTAACTTTTATACATACTTTTTTTTACATAAACAGTTATAACTTATACTTTAACAAATGGGGAGGGGGTGGTAGGTAATAGATATTAGAATATTTCCTCCAGACCAAAGTTCCTCTGTTAAAACATCTTTTTTTTAAAAAAAGTTCCAAAATTTAAAAATTTATCTTATAAAAAAGACATTTAAAAAAAAATGGATAGGGTATTACAATTTTAAAACAATTTTTTTTTAATCAAGCTATGGACACATAAATTATCATTAACAAAGTTTAATGCAATAAATGTAACAAAAAGATTAACAACTGGAATGCAAATTCCTTATATTAATACTTTTTAAACAATAGCAATTATTTGATTGTTATTGAAAATTTAACAATAATAGCAACACCTACTTAAAAAATTTTTTTAAATGAGAAAATGGCTACTTTAAATTGTTCATACCAAACTCAATTACACTTTTCTTAAGCTGTTTTGCATAATCATTGTGTTCCAAACAACGCTTGTATCGCTTTCATACTTGATAGTGGTAGTGATGAGCACTTTCTCCAACCTGCTCAGCATATACACCAAGCCTAAACTGACTACGATGAAGAAAAGTAACAAGATGACACACAAAAATGTGAACTTTCCAGCTAATATTTAATTCATAGTTAAACTTTTCCAGAAGATGAAGCTGCAGTTTTTCAAAAACGTTTTTAAAATCTAAAACTGATTCAGCAATAGATTCTCCAATTACTGAGCTGAAACCTTTTTTTTTAATAATTGAAAACTTTCTAAGACAATTAACTACAGGTTGTAGAAATATTATATTTGGCTGCATAGAGGCTTAGAAGATTAACTTCTAGATCATCTAATTTATCTAAAAGTCTCTGTGAATTTTTACCGTCCAAACCTATTCCATGGTAACTTCTAAACATAATATAGTTAGATTTAAGCCATGTGTCAAAATCAGGCCACAAAGTATTTAATACTTTTACAAACATAGAATACCAATGAAAATGTGTAACTCTGGAGGAGGGATAAGATGTTCCAATAAAGTTTCTAAAGGTTCATCGAGATATACAATTCGAGAAGAAATACAGTTTTTAAATTGCTTCATGCGAATATTTTTGCATCCATCTGCAACAAACTTATTGTAATTAATAACAATTGAACCTAAAGTTCTTTTTTCTCCACTCTCAAGAGTACTTTCTCCTTCACACCAGAGACAAGCATATTTACCTCTGTGGCTGCTTAAACCAAATAAAAAATTACCACATTTTAGATCAAATACTATTGAATATTTTACATCATTCAGCGCCAGTGGTTTCAATAGTTTGCTAAGATTTCCATTATGTTCTGAAACATCTTCAACTAAAGCTAAAACCAATGATCTTTTTACACCAGAAGTTGTATTTTTGCATAATGGATCAAAAACATTTACAATACATTCAAGAAAACCCTGTCCAGCATCAATTGAAATTCTAACAATAGTGCAATAAGGATTCAAACCTCTTTCTTTAATCATGCGAAGAATTAAATCAGAAGTATCTTTTACAAATACCAAACTGCGACTTATCTCTTCATTCCCTGAAATGAATGATTCAGTTTTTACATCATAAAAATCTGACAAAGTGTTATGCAGCTCTTCAATCTGAGTTGATATATTAGGTTCTAACATCATCTTCCTTAAGTTTTGTCGCATATTTTTGCTAAGTAGTTTTGTTTTTCTTTTACTTAGGTTTTGGGTATTTGAGATTTCCATTATAGCTTCGAAAGACAATTTTTTAAGGCATGCTCTGCTACCTTTATTATCAGGTGTGCCAAAAACAACAAGAAGGTTGTTTCCAAAAGTCTTTAAGGGAAACTTATCTCCAGGTTTAATATTGTCCCTTTTCATATGAGAATCCCAGAAGCAACTTGCTCACTGGATACATTTTCAAGACCTTCTGCCAACATAATTAGGTTTTTAATAGCCTCAATCTTACAGCAAAAATGGGAAATTCCTTTACCTGAATAAAAGTTAAAAGTATGACAACATTTTATTACTAACTTTGATATTATTAAATTTGTAAACCATAAAAACAATGCACTAATATTGAATTAACATTGCAACAATTCATACAATAATAGGATTCACATATATTCACATATGTATATATATATATATATATATATATATATATATATATATATATATATATATATATATATATATATATATATAATATATATATATATAATTCTAAAAGTATATGTTATTATATAAATATTATAGAGAATTATTATTTTAAAAAAATTGAAAATAAAAACAGTACAACACTTTAAATTTGCTGAAGAATACCTATTGAAGAAAAGCATGAAGGACATATCTTTTTAATAACTCTATCGATGATCTCTTGATTATCCTTTGCCATCTGTTCAGATATTTCACTAAAATCAGATGATCTTCTGAGTTTTTGTCTGTTAATTTTAGATATTTTTTCAATCCAATCATTCAACTTTGATGTTTCACCCCTGTTCAATGCATATAAATTTGTTTTGCAAGAAGTACAAATGTTTTTCGGACAACACTCTTTGTCTACGTCATATTCTCTCCAAAATAAGTTTTGAATATGGAGTTGTATTTGCAGGAGTTACTTTAATAAATTTTGATCCTTTTCCAAAGGCAATTAAACAACAAGCACAAATTAAACATTTTGCTTCAGCCATTTTGACAAAAAACATGTATGTTTTACCCGAATGCTTTACGAAATATTGCCGTCTTTTTATCCGTTTTGAATAGATGATTTTGAGTAAACTTTAAATGACGTAATTTTTATAGATATTTTAATTCATTAAATCTCAATTTTTGATGTTAAAAAAGGAGTTTAGATTTTAAAAATTATTTTAAAACACTTAACCTAATAATAGTAATAAAAAAAAAAAAAATTAGAGTAAACCAAAATTTACCCTGGCGGTCTCAGGAGAGCACAGTGAAATAGAATCGTGAAACTTCGGAACATTAATTTTGGGTTCAGGTATGTATATTAAAATAAAATAATCTGTTTTTTTACTTTGTTTATAATTTTAAAGACCTAGTTTATTTTTATGTTGCTGTAACGGCTTTAAACAGCAAACTAAAAATAATTTTATTTATATAAAAAATATTTACTCTTAATTAGACAGCTGTTTTGGTCAAATAATGACCTAAATATATCTTTATATATTCTATTAATCAGCCTTAATATTTGAGCTGGCGCAAGCATTTGATTAATTGCAACAGAAAATGTCTTTACAAGATATTGTAAGATTAAAGTACTATTTTTTGTTTCTTCATTTAAAATTTCTTAAATACGTTCATTTTACTTTTAGTTAGTATTGTGACCAATAGATTATCAATATTATCAATTATAATAACCTTATGTAAGGTTTTAACTTTTAGGTAACCCAAGTTGGCTATATGAAAAATAGATAAACTAGAATGTAATAGATTTTATTTATCTTTTTGATGCTCGATCAACTAATTTCTTTCAAACTGCAGTTTATTTAATTTTCATAGGGCTACTGGTGTTACTAAAATATTGTAACTCAATGTTCATTATATTTAATAATATTTAAATGTATTTTTTTAAAGAAAGGTGCAGTCAAGCATAATCTGTATACAAAGGATGCTTCAAAAACGAAATTAAACGATCACTTGAAGTCGTGGATTAGTAAATCGTGCGACCGAAAAAAGTCGATGGTGCGAGGATTGATTCAGCATGCCATTCGGAACTTTTGAACAAAGACGGTGATGATGCAAATGGCGACAATAATGTCTACATTTGAGTACAGCAGTTTTAATATTTGATATACACTTCATTTTATTGAATATGTTTTTTTTCTACAACAAAGGAGTTTTGATACCTTAAAAATAAATTTACTTTAAATGAAATCACAAACACATTTGATTGCAATACATTTTGAAAAGTTGGAAATACCTTTTAGGATCAAGTCAGTTTGTATTTGAATTAAACAATTTAAATGGCTCTAACCAAATGTCGTTTGCAATTGTAAACATTTTAGTATATTAAAGAATATCAAATATTAGTAATTTTATGATAACTGGACGTATGCCAGATCAGGGATAACAGGGAAAAGACAGGGAATTCAGATATCAGCAAAAAAATCAGGGGATTATCAGGGAAATTAGGGTAAATTTTAGAAAAATCAGGGGGAAATCAGGGACTTATATAACTTTTATAAACTGTATATTGGTACACATAGTATATAATTTTATTAAATAGTTCTATAAACTTCTCTTGATACATTTAATGTTGTATTATTGTTTATATTTTTGATGTTGAAGAGTATTTTTCTAAACAAATCTAAGTCAATTTTTGTGAAGTTGAGTTTATGTAACTTTAAATTAAACCAGGGAAAACAGGTAGAAGATCAGGGAAAATTAGCGTTTTTAATTCACTGAACCTAATAAAATATATTGTCGGATAAATGCTGGCTAAACTACATTGGGCCAATGTAGGCCTGGCGGTCATCACGGAATTGGCTCAACGTTGGATTCCACTGCTGGGCCAACGTTACAAGAAGCATTGAGCAGACACTAGGCCAACGTTGGTGTGTTAGCTGGACTGATATGTATAATATAATATATAAATAGCATTTCTCTGTAAGAAAGCATGTTAATTGTAAAGAAAATTTTCAATTTTCTTTACAATTAACATGCTATCTTTTCAACAATCTTGTCTAGTTGAAGAAGCAGAGGCGTATTTAATAATTATGAACTTACATAGTTTGAATCCCCTCAATTTGAGGGGGTTTTAAAATTTAAACGGTCATAATTTATAAAAGCTGAAAGATTATACTATGAAACTTAAAATTTATCAATGAATATAAGTTAGTTAAGAATAGTACAAAAAATATTTTATCAACTTGTTGTTCTCACGTTTGGGGCAGGGAAAAGGCGAAAATTTTAGGGCTTTTTTGTTCCCAGCTTCCAATCATCGCAACTTTTTGCAAAGCCTCATTATTTGACGTAAGTATAAAAATATAAATGTTTGAAGTTTGCTCCATGTCTGGAAGTTACTTATCTCGAACAACAAAAAATTCTGTCTACGTTTCTGTGAAGAAGTCGAATTTTAAATTTTATTGACGTGTATTGACGTGATTGTGCAGTGGAGTTGTCAAAAGCAATTTTTGACCAGCATTATTAGATCCCCAGACCATTTGATTTTTACATAGAATACAAGTTGTTGTTGATCAAGAGGGATCGTTCTTTTAAAACGTTTCCAAAAATTTCATTTTTCAATGTTTACCGTGGCAAAATTTTAAAATATTTGACATTAAAATACACATTGAAAATTTTATAATGAAAGTATTTGCCTTTAGGAGATATCCGACCGGATTTTTGATTATCTAGTTACCGGTATCCAGCCTAACATTAAAAAAATGCTACCAAAAGTAATGAAGTAATCTCTACTTTTGAATGTAGGAACAACTTTTCTAACTTTAAAACAGATAACAGATATGCAGAAAAAGGTATAATGATACCATAAGCTCTTTTCACAACATTTGCACTAATGTCATCAAGTACTGGGCTTTTTGTTTGGTTGTACTAAAAGTAATTTAAGTCTCAGCAGAAATTATTTTGATCTCATATATAAGGTGGGTGTGGGTATTAAGCGATTGCTTACAGTTATAATTTAATCTTCTGAGCTTTAATTGACATCCAAAAATGTTAAAACTTGTCTAAAGCATTGAAAGCTTTAGATTGTCTTCGAGAAAAAAACTGTTTTTCTTTGCGCAGGTCATGCCAATAATACTTAAAGCTATCGGGCCCATGCATATCAAAATATTTTTTTTATCTGAAAAGATAACATTGTTGCATTCCTCATCCCATGATTTATTTTGTTCCCATGCAATCCATTACAAATTCCTTGTGGTTTGTTGAAAACATTATATTTTTCGTATAACATTTCTCATTTTGATTTTAAATATGAAACCAAATCAAACAAAGTCTCAGGTTGAAAAGATAATTGGGTTCAAATATTGTCCCTAATATCGCCAATAAAAATTATTCAAAAATATGTCAACGTGAGCATCATTAGCTTATTATTTTGAGAAGCCTCAAATTTCAGCATTAAAATTAATAAAAATTTTAAGCAAAACGATCTTGTAGTCAGAAACTTAAATAAGCGTTTAACAAAGATAAAAAAACTAAAAATTAATTAAACTTTTGCAGAATTACAAGATATATAAATTATATATCTGAAAGATCACAAGAATCTTCTCATTCATCTCAATCGTTCTCAAAATTTTATCCAGATGTAAACCAACATATATATATTATTAACATATATTAAGAAAAAAGTATAAAAACAATATATATATAAAAAAAAGCCAACTTTATATAATCAAGTATAAAAAAAATCAATTATACTTTTTAAAATTTATATTATAAATAATAACCCAATATATTATCTAATTTAAGAAACAGGTTTTTAGTTTATTTTTAAAAAGGTGGAAAGTAATAGGTACATCAAATTCGTAAAAACAATTTTATTCCAATTTTATAATATATAAGGTGGGTGTGGGTAAGGTAAGGTCCAGCGGGTAATAAGGCCTACTAGTCCAAACTACAGAAAAATATAAATTGCGAAACTTTTTTGGTTTTATCACTGGAAGTAAAAAAAAAAAAGGCATTTTTTTACCCCGCGTTCGACAAAGCACGATTACTTCGTTGGTTCCGTCAATAATTGCTCAAGTCTAATTTTTAAGATACGTATGTATTTTCACATTTTTAAATACTTTATAATGCTTCTATTTTTTTCAAGTGCATTTATTTGCATTAATTATTTATTACTTATCATTACTCAACATGTAATGTTTATGGACGTGTTGAAACAAAAAGATACTTTATCGATAAACGTGGCAGGTTTAATGGTAATAAGCCCCACTAAGAATTACATATCTACATATGGTTTCAGTTGATCAACCCATTCCCTCAACAGCTCCAGTCAATCAACCTGAAATGAATCTTAATGCAAGATTCACTGACTTTATCCCAAGCCCTGCTAAAAAGAAAAATATGGCTATTGTCGGCCGCAAAAAAAGTTTTAACTATGTTGCTAAAGCCCAGACGAAAGAATATTTTCAATCTTCCTCTTCTAAAGCTGTTAATAAAAAGAATAAGGGCAAAGGGAAACTAAATGTAAAGAAAAGTAAGTCTGTAAGTGCGGATGTAAATGATTGGTTTTGTTTGTTGTGCCAGCAAAAGTCTGAGGAAAGTATGCGACAATGTTGTAAATGTAAAGTATGATATGATTTTAAAGATGAGGAAAAGTTAATATGTCCAATCTGTGAAGACTAATGATTTTCTTTGTAACATTTTTTTAATAAATTTTTTAATTTTCTGTTGTTATTCACTGTTGTATAAAAAATTGGTTCTTTTGAAGTATATAATATTACTTATTATTTTATAAATGTGAGATAAACTATGCATTAAAAGAATGTTTCCTAACTTTTTTCTATTTTTTCTTTATTTTTGTATTTTTTACATGAGCCTTATTACCCCCTAGGGGCGTAATAAGGTCCACTTATAGCATGTTAAAAAAACATGAATAACTTTTGTTTAATTAATTTCTCAACATAGAGATATCATTTTTACATTAAGGAATGATTAATCTTATGCAGCAATCAAGTTAATTTTTTTATACCTAATTTTTAAAACCTACCTTATACCCAATAGTTAGGTGAGCC